GACGCTTTTCTCCGGCTTATCTCCAAGCCGGAAAAAAGCGGCGGCCATGAAAATGCAAATGCCGCGGGAGATATTTAAATCCCCCGCGGATTTGCCTCTTCCCAAGTGCTACATTAGCATGCCTATTTCGTAATAGGGGCCAATGTAGACGTAGCCAAAAAGAAGTGGAATTCTGTTATTCTCCTTTTTGGGTCTATCTTGAAGTGGTTCATGTCTGGGTACTTTTTTGGCTCTGTCAATCTGTTGTTTCACTTCTCCAGGTGGGTATTTCAGTTTTAGGAATGCTCTATAAAGATTCTGTAGGTGTTTGTCTCTGTGGGTATGTCTAGACTATACCTCTCTGTCGACAGAGAGATGTAGATTAGGCACATCAAAATCGCTAATGAAGCAGGGATTTAAATATCCCACGCTTCATTAACATAAACATGGCTGCCACTTTTTTTCAAAACAGTTTAAAAAAAAAGGCAGTGTAGACACAGATCTTTCGAAAATAAACCCTTTTTTGAAAGAACCTGTAAACCTCATTTTTTGAGGAATACAGGATCTTTCAAAAAAAGGTTTATTTTCGAAAGATCCGCGTCTAGACTGCCATTTTAAAAAAAAAACCCTCCGTTTCGAAAAAAAAGCGGTGGTCGTGTTTATGATAATGAAGTGCGGGATATTTAAATCCCTGCTTCATTAGCAATTTCAACATGCCTAATCTACATCTCTCTGTCGACAGAGAGTTGTAGTCTAGACACCGCCTGTCTGTGGGATCAGAGCAAATCTGGTTGTTTCTTAGGGCTTGGCTGTATACAATAGATGGAGAAATGTGTCTGGGATGGAAGCTGGAGGCAGAAAGGTAAATGTAGCAATTGATGGGTTTCCAGTATAGGGTGGTGGAGAATTGTCCATCATTCAGTTGTACTGTAGTGTCCAGGAAGTGGATTTCTCATGTGGACTGGTCCAGGCTGAGGTTGATGATGGGATGGAAGTTGTTGAAATCCTTGTGAAATTCTTCAAGAGTCTCTTTTCCATGGGTCCATATGATGAAGATGTCATCGTTGTAGCCTAAGTAAAGTAGGGGTGATAGGGGGCGAAAGTTGAGGAAACATTGTTCAAGGTCAGCCATAAAGATGTTGGCATATTGTGGTGTCATGCGGGTGCCCATACTAGGGTTTGTATTATAAATGAGCCATTAAGATTGGTCACAAAAAATGAATTACGAACGTCAGCAAAGATGAATTATTGCATCTTGATTCTGAATTTATTCTCCTAGCTTTCTTCAATAGTGTAACAACCTAATTTGTGTGAAAAAGGAAGACCTACTGTTATGGTCTCAGTCCTAGTATTTATATACAGAATTATTTTCTGTCTCAGTGTTTGCACATTCAGCCAAGAGCAACACTCCATCATTTCAAACATGGTTTCTTTGTACTGTAGCGCACATGGGCTAGCTGCCCTTTGTTATATTCACTGCCTTGCTTTTGGCATAGTCAGCTCAAATGCTGCATTGCCTTCCCCAGCCTGCTCCTGCACCCTACCTTCCTCACCCCCACATTTCTTTTGAACTGTATCTCCTGCTCAGACCTGCACCATGCCGTAGCCCATTCCCTGGCAAACTCCTCCTGCACACCGAACCTAGTCTTTTGGCCCCACCCTAAAAGTTAGGAGGGCCCCACAAAATCTACCAGGGCCAGGTAGGTTCCTAGAAGAGTTACTCCAGACCCAGGGAGAAGCCCTGAACCTTGGTGCCTTTTTTCTCCATCCTCATAGGGCTGAGAGAGGAGTGAGGTGAGCATCTTTATTTTTTCTGCATCTCAGTTGGGGGACATGTCTGTGAGAGGTTTTTTCTCCTTTTCACTTGGACACCAGATCTTTAAGGTTTGTTTGTTTGTTTTGCATCTTACTTATGTGTGGCCCCAACTGATTTTTCTGTGGGTCAGTGGCCCCCAACCCCAAAACCGTCTCTGCTGTAAGACATTTAGCTGAAGCAAATTAGCATAAATACAGTCAAGTATAACAGGCTGAACTCTAGATAAATGGCCTAACAATTACCTTTAGATGGCTCAACAGAAGGAGTTAAAATTTACCAGTAAATGCTACCACAAGGAACATCAAAATACTAACCACCAATCCAACTATAGAAAGGGTATAATGGATACAATAATGTGCTTGGATGGCAGTTACATGGATCAGTATGTTATCCTATCAAATCTGAACACCACAATAGTAGGTGGGTGAAAAGGCTAAATCTGGGCATGGAGCATGAGCTGATGGTGCGCTGGCCCTATAATAGGGCAGCCACCATATGGTTAAGAGTTCTTTCTGGGCTTCTTGCATCACTATCGCAGGGGTGGCCCTAGACTAGCTGCCAGTAACTGGCGCCTTAGGCAAACCATGCAATCGGTGCCCCCACCTCCAAACCCCTCAATGATATTGCGCCACCATTTGGCGCCCCATTTAACTTGGCACCTAGGCGACTGCCTAGTTCACCTATATGTACGGGCCACCCCTGACTATCTGTTTTCCACTGCTTAACCCTTCAGCTCACTGAGGAACTTGGTCCATCAGACACAGTGGCACGCTAGTGACAGAGCTGGTCTGTTGTATCGTACTACAAGGTCCTTAAGGAAGGGTGTGAGTATATAATTCTATGAGATTATGTAAAGAGTGGGGGAAGAACCGTATCGCAGTCCAATCAATTGGCCATCATTAAAATCATCATTACCCTCTGGAAGGGTCAGACAACAGCACTTCTTCTCACTTAGATATTTTGATTTCTATGCAGACATGGATTTATTTTCAGACTCTCTTGGGTGCTTGAGAAGAACCATCCCCATGCTACTCACACTGATGATTCTGGGCCTCATTGGTGAGTCTGGAGTCTCTTTCTATTTCACTGAGCTCACTGCCAAAGCAACTGTGGAAGTAGATAACTGTGGGGATGGGATGTGGGATAGGTTTTACCTCTCTGGCACCCCTGGGAGGAGGGAAGCCCTTCTCTCATGCTGGACATCCTTCTCTGGACAGCATCTTGACTGTAGCCTTGGCTCCAGATTTGGGGTACAGCCTCTGGCTTTGCCTCTTTGGGACTCTGCTCCCTGCTGGCACCTGGAGTCAAAGAAGTCCAAGATAAAAAGATAAAATATTTCCCACAGCCAAGCAAAGGACCAGTTCCCCACAGTCTCATGCAGGATACAGGCCAATAGGGAGGAAGGGTTGGGCTGCTTGTCCCTTGTGTGTCCAAACAACTGAGGCTGAATTCCAGGGCTTCAAAAATAAAAGCTGGTTCTGTTGCTTCTTGTATGGGACAAATGAGTCTGGTTCATGAGCAAATGGAATATAAATAAACCATTTCTGACTAATTTGGATAACTCTTTCAAGAAGTGGCAACCCTTGCCAATCTTGATATGGACGGCAAGAGGTTTTAATCTCTAGCCTGTTTAAGAGCCAAATTAAAAGAGATCTCACTTTGCACAAGACTTCTCCTTCACAGAGGTTCTGACTCCTGGCTAGCAAGTTCTGCGCTCCCAGAAAACTCAACCCAGATCCCGCAACCTATGACACAAAACCCATCTGAGAGCAGAGCAGTGTCTGATTCATGACTTTGAATCTTTTCACTTTACTTATGTTTATGAAAAGTCCTTAAATTAAAATATCTCCATTCAATTTTTCAGGTACTTCTGAAAGTCAGACTGGATGCTATGGTGACATAAACAAAGTTGATACCACAGGGGCTTCCTGTAAAACTGCAAGAGCAGAAGGCCTAAGCTACTGTGGTGAGTAATGGCTGCTGTTTGGTTGCTGTATTTTAGCACGCAGAGTCGTCACAATGATGCACAGTATTTCACTTCTGTAAAGTACTTTGCAAGTATTCTTTGATTAAACCTCATAACATTCCTCTTGGCTAAACAACATTGTCCTCATTTTACAGAGACAGAGAGGAGGACTTACACTAAAATTTAGTAACACCAATGTCTTCAGTGGAGTTTCACTACAAATGATTTTGGCTCAGAAACAGATAGTTAGTTTTTTCCACGAGTGACTTTTTTTAAGGTGCCCAACATGAACCATTTAGGGGCTGATTTTCAGAACCACTCATGTAAGTGCCTCTAATTAAAAGGATTGGGAACTGTGGGCACTGTGTGATAGGTCAGTTAAGCTCTTTTACAGTTCATTGTCTCTTGCTGATGGGCCATCGGCACTATACCCACTTTTATTGTCGTGTCAGCAGTGGGTGCAACCCAAAGTAGCAAATATGAAATTACAGATAGTCACATCAGCATTGCTAACTTCATTTACCTAAATGATACAGGCATACAAATGGGATAATCCTATTCAGTTAATCACAACATCTCCAATTATATGTTACATGAGCCACCTTACATTAGTAATGATGACATATTCATATCATAAGCTTATTTTCATAAAGCATGTAAAATACCCTGTCCTACTCTGAACCCTCAAATACCAGGCTCAAGGTGTCCCTGTTTGGAACATCCAAATTTAACAATTACTTGTTAAACTTTGGCCCAACTGAAATTTCTAAAGCCAAAATTGGGATTAGTATTAAGAAATTCCTGACTCTCAGACTTGTGTTGAGTTCTCGCTATTTCACACCGCCTACATGCACCTCAGATCAACAATTTATCTGGTATTGCTGGTAAAAATAGAAGGAGCTCCCTAGTCTTTTACTCTACAAATACAATCAGACTTAATGCCAATCCTCCCCATGTTGAGTAGAATTGAGATTTCCTCCTAATGTGGGAAGAAACAGTGCTCAGATGCCAAATGAAACTGAGAGGAAAGTGCAATTATTGAGATGTATCTCAAATTACAGTTCTCCCAGCATAAGTCTTCTGCCTCTACCTGTAAGAATTCCACCATTTTGAATCCACCTCTCGACTTTGAAGCCCCATATTATAGTCCTGTTTTTCTGGCCATAAAGGGGTAGATGTGACTCCTCTCAGCTACTGCCACCATCACCCTTACATCATTCAGAGGGTGACAGGCAGCAGCTAATTCTTCCACTCTACCTGCTCAGCAAGCCCCTTCACCTTCACCTTCACCTTGGGGCCTAAGAATTAAATCCAGACTCTGCACATTATTTGAAGACACACTTTTTTTTGTCTTGAGACATTAGTAAAATTCATAATTCAAAATCCACAATACACATGACTTGCACAAGGGCTATCAGAGAGTAGAACGGAGCTCTGTACTTAAGAAATCTCTTGCTGATATAACAGTTATTAAGGAGACATCTTTACTCTCCCACTTACTCCAGGAATTAATGCTTCAGCAAAGATGGCGGAGAAAGACTTACCTACTATGAATAATTATAAAGCCATCATTAAGAACGCTAGCAGAGCAATTTGTATGGATCCAGCTGTGATCACTGGCATCATCTCCCGAGAGTCAAATGCTGGAACCCTCCTAAAGGATGGCTGGGATGAACTTGGAAATAAATTTGGTTTGATGCAGGTCAGTAATTGTCAATAAACTAAGCGTACAGCCAACTGCTTGGCAGGGAGCCAGCTGCATTTCTCAATAGTGCAGCTTAGGCAAAGATTGAAATTTGGCCCACTGCTATTGTTGAGGCATCAACTCATGGCACGGGGGTATGTCAGACCTGTCATTAAAGAGGCTGCTGCTTATGCTGTAGTTTGAACATCAATTATTTCCATGAGCTCATGGAAGTACCTAATGAGCCTGAATTTTTCACCCCTCCACCCAGAAACTCTTTTTCTTGTTTTTAATATTTATTTATTTAGGAAGGATTATCTGTCTGTCTGTCTATCTATCTATTTTGGAATGTGTCTGTCTGTCTGTCTGTGCATCTGTTTGCTCATTTGTTCAAGAGCTCCTCCTAAGCCAGAGCTAGGACTACCAAATTTTGCCTGCAGCTTTATCTTACCCTCACTTGAAACCAAAGTCAGGGTTTGGTTGTGTCTGGACAACGGAAAGTACTGGACATGGGACTATTTCCGATAACATGGAAAAGGAGGCAGCAGAGAAGAGAGGGATGTGAAAGGGAGGGACACAGAGAGGAGGGACGCAATAATGAGAATGGCCACTGGGGGCAGCACAAAGTCAGTGGCCATGAGGGCTGGGACTCCTCCATCTTGCCTGACTCCAGACCAGTAAAGAGCCTCCCTGCCCCAAGCCCAGAGCCCCCCACCTCACCCATGGAGTGCCTGTAGGACATGGGCAGGAACCACTGAAGGAGGGGGCAGCCCCCAGAGCCTCACCCACCCCCCACAACAGTCTGCAGGCCATGGGAGGCTACTGGAGGGAGGCAGCTGGAGTGGGGGCAGTCCCCAGAGCCTGGCCCCTCCCCAGACAGCTTACAGACTGTGGGGCAGAGGGGCTGGAGAAGGGGGCAGCCCACCATGGAGCTCCTCTCCTCTCCCCCCAGCCTGGGGGGGAGCTGCTGGAGAGTGGGGCCAGCCCAAAAGCACCACCCACCTCCACAGGCTGCAGGACAGGGTGGCTGCTGCTCCAAGCAAAGCCACCCCTCAGAGCAGCTGTAGGCTGGGGTGGGGAGTAGCTGCAGGCTGAGGCTGACTGCAGAGCCCCAACCCCCACCCAACAAGTGTGCAGACCCAACCCACACCCAATGAGTGCGCAGCCCTGGATCCACCCTTTCAGGGTAGAGCCACCCTCCAGAAGTGCAACCCTGGCCTCTTGAGAGGAGCCGCTGGCAGAGAGCACTGCCATGGCCCCCTGGGAAGGTGTCTGTGATAAGCCCTCCCCCACCTCCCAGTCTCCTGTCCTGAGCCCCCTGCCCTGAGTCTTGCACCTCCCATCTGCCTTGACTTCTGCACCCCCACTTCCTTCCCTGTGAGTCCACCCTACTTTCCCCTGCCCTGAGGCTACCAACTCCTGTCTTGACCCCCTTACAATTCCCAACCCTTTGCTCTAAGACTCTCTCCTTGATGCAGAACCCTCACTCCAGCTTTAATTTTCTTTCATTTAAAAAAATATATAATAATTGACATAAAGCATGGATGTTTTTAATTTATTTTCCAAAAACATCAAAACTTTACTTCAGTTAAAGACCCGAGCAAAACTGGGTACATCGGCTAGTATTCAACATAAAAGCACACCTGTGCTGCTTTTGTTGCAGGTGGATGTAATCTGGGTGTTAAACAAATGCTAACTAAACAACTAAGTATTATACTTGATTTATTTGGCTGGGTACATAACAGATGCACCCTCCCATATTTTTGAACGATTCCTCAAGGACTGCACTATTTCTTTTGTCCACTAAGAGGTATCAGTAGCCCAGTAGTTAATAGCAGATGAGAGATTCATTCTTCATTTCCCTTTTGTGTGACCAATTCTATTAGGAAGACCCAGGAGGATCCCAAAGGGTCATTTGGTAAAATATCTAACGATATTTGGTTACAAATTGTGTTTCAATACTAGCTAATAACCATAGGTGTATAAAATCTCCTCTTTCACTACAAAAAACAACGAATGGTCCTGCAGCACCTTAGGGTATGTCTAGACTACATGGCTCCGTCAACAGAGCCATGTAAACTAGTTTACCTGGCATAGTCAATGAAGCAGGGATTTAAATAATCCCCGCTTCATTAAAATTAAAATGGCTGCTGCACTGTGCCGACGATCAATTGATCTGGCACAGAGCAGCAGTCTAGACGCGGCGCGGTCGACAAGGGAAGCCTTTGTCGAAGGGCTTCCCTTGTCGACCGCGCCCCATCTAGACTGCTGCGCTGTGCCAGATCAGCTGATTGTTGGCACAGCACGGCGGCCATTTTTATTTTATTGAAGCGTCGACAGAGCCATGTAGTCTAGACGTACCCTTCGAGACTAACCAAAAATGTAGTCTAAGGTGCTGCAGGACCATTAGTTGTTTTTTAAGTTTTTTTCAGTTACAGACTAACAGGCTACCCTACCCCTCTGAGACTCTTTCACTACAGTTTCTCCAGTGCTTATACCCATCTATAAAAATCTCTGCTTTCACTATTATTTCTCCAACACACCTCTGTCTCCCAATCCCTCTATCCCCATTCCTCTGGGATTATTTATCTATACAGCTCCTATTCCCAGTGTGTCATATAACCAGGGTTTAAATACTCTTAAAGTTTTCCAGTTTTTTCCAACTCTCTACTTTTTTAGTGAATGCTAGTACCCCAGTGTGGCCATTTAGTCCACCATTTAGTTCCACTTGTCTGAAGGAGTCCATCCTTGCGAACAATGAGATTTGGGCCAGGTCCATAGGCTGTGGCAGAGAAACAGATTCCTCTGTGAATGCCTGGATTTTACCAAATCTCCCCAGAGCAGGGCGGCACTTTTCTGTGACATTTTTCCTAGATACCTTCTGAGGAGCTGTTACCCCTCAACTTCTATCCTCAAACAGCAATTGAGCAGCTTTCTGCTGTATCTCCTCTTCCAGCAGGTGAATAGTCTTATCTTCTGTTGTACTTCCTGTTTAACATTTCTGGGGGTAGCAGAGTCTCACAAACCTGAGTACATATCAGTGAGTTTCATGGAGGTGATGTTTACTTTATCAAATCCTTACTGCAACACACTAGAACACGGGTTCCCAAACTGGGAGGTGTGCCCCCCTGGGGGGAGGCATGAAGAAACTCTGGGGGTGGGGGCGCGAGGTAACCCAGCCTCTTCCCCCCATCAAGTTTTGCTGCCCTGTTCAGTTCCTTTTTTCCTTTTTTTTCCCCTCAACAAGTTTTGCTGCTATTTTGGGGGGGGAGGGGCGTGAGGGTTTTTCAAAAATCAAAAAGGAGGGCGTGATGCCAAAAAGTTTGGGAACCACTGCACTAGAAAACTCATTCCAACTTAATCCTTTCTATTTATCATAACTAGTTGCACAAACCTTTTAGGGAACATAACCCTAAGCCAATCTGAACAATTTGTATGATTGGACTGCCAAAATGTGTCTGTTATAGATCTATACTGCTAGCATCCATCATTTAATTATACTCTAGATAGTGATTCTTTTTAAAGATATAGACTATAGTGTTAAAAATTGTTTACATAAATAGATCAGGCTACTTTGGGGCTAATTTTTAAGTTACTGTGCACTATTGACAGAGTAGAAAATAGCCCTGGGAAATGCAGTTAAATTTTCCCCTTTCCACCAAAATCTGAAATGGCAGCCCTGTCTTTTAGGTCATAATTTCCAAGACCAGAATGAGCCTTCTGGATGAACTCCTAACCTTGGACCGGACACTTAGCTCACCCTTGTGACTTCCCTCCCAAAGTGCAGGAAAATGAAAGAATCAGGCAGCTGTTGCCACTGAGCTACTCACACCTTGCACAGCTGCTGCTCCACGCTCTGCGTTAGCAAGAGGAGTAACCTCTCTCTGCAGGATCCAGCGAGCCCTGCAGTAGCCTCTGTCGAGGATAGCAGTCCAATCGTAGCAGCTGAGGCTACCAGCAAGGACAATATTTAGCAGCAGATAGAACATCAGACAGCGTGTACTAGGCATTTTGCATACAAGTTCATGCATGCCTGGGCAGGACCATGTGTTCTTTAAAATGGCGTTCCTCATCACATGGAACCTCATGCTCATCATGCCGTCAGAGGCAGGGGTGCACAACAGAGGCAGGCCCTGGCTCTAATCTCTGGGTCTATAATTATTAGGCCCAGATTGGAAGGTGCAATGCCCTACATGTCCTCTCCACTTTCACTTTTTCCAGAGAGCTCAGATTTCATAACTCCATACTTAAAGTTTTCACAAACAGGAATGGGTTTCGTCCTGCAGCATTTTCAGGTGGTCACTTAATTCTGATGTTCCTTTAATGATCTCTCTTCTGATTCATCCAGTTTAAGATGCCCCTCTTTCTTTCATCAATGCTGTGTAGCTCTACAGCTCTCAGTCCCCCTCTCACTTTCTTCTCTGAGGCCAGTCTCTAGAACAGTGGCTGAACTTTCTATGGCAATAACTTCCTTCTTTACTGTTAGCAGCTTAGTTATCAGATCATCTTTTATGGCCTTAATCTCAGAGATCAACTTCCAAATGTCAGTTTTGGTAGCCATTTGATTTTCTTCAGCCCTTGGCATTTCTTCCTGATTTGGCAGCCATGTGCTCATTTGGAACTTGAGAGATTTCTTCACACAGCGAGCAAGAAACACTCCTAGGCTGTGTCTAAACTACGTCCCTCTTTCAACAGAGGGATGTAAATTAGACACTTCGAAATTGCAAATGAAGTGGGGATTTAAATATCCCACACTTCATTTGCATAATCACATCATGGCGCTCTTTTGAACAAACGCCATTTCGAACGCTCTACTCTGCACTAGTTAGGCCTCAGCTGGAGTACTGTGTCCAGTTCTGGGTGCCACATTTCAAGAAAGATGTGGAGAAATTGGAAAGGGTACAGAGAAGAGCGACAAGAATGATTAAAGGTCTAGAGAAGCCTATGAAGCCAGGCTTCATGAACTGGGCTTGTTTAGTTTGGAAAAAAGAAGATTAAGGGGGGACATGATAGTGGTTTTCAAATATCTAAAAGGGTGTCACAAGGAGGAAGGCGAAAATTTGTTCCTCTTGGTTTCTGAGGACAGGACAAGGAGTAATGGGCTTAAAGTGCAGCAGGGGAGGTTTAGATTGGACATTAGGAAAAAATTCCTAACTGTCAGGGTGGTCAAATATTGGAATAAATTGCCAAGGGAGGTGGTGGAATCTCCCTCTCTGGAGATATTTAAGAACAGGTTGGATAGACATCTGTCAGGGATGGTGTAGACAGAGCTTGGTCCTGCCTTGAGGGCGGGGGGCTGGACTCGATGACCTCTCGAGGTCTCTTCCAGTCCTATGATTCTATGATTCTATGAAGTGTCTAATTTACATCCCTCTGTCGAAAGAGGGATGTAGTCTAGACATAGCCCCAGTTAGATCTATTTTGTGGGGGCGGGAGAGAGGGGAAATCCACCTTCTGCATCTTAAGCTCCATATTATGGGGGGAGTTTACTAAGCTGAGGAGTTGATGGAAGTAGATTTCTATCCCCTCAGACTTCAAGCTTCAGGCAGCCATTTCAGTTCATCCCCCTGCTCGTTTGATGAAATTCAATTTCTTAGTGGCATCAGCTAACTGGGGAAAAGTCTCAGGCCAAGGTGAAAACCACCACAAACTCGTCCCACAAAGACCTGAGGGACAACAATGGATTTTTAGAATATTCACCTAACACAGGGGTGGGCATTAAAAAAATGGCAGCCCAACAGGGTTAGTTCATGGTAGGCCACCACCGCTATATTTACCTGTGTCTCTGCAGGTATCAGTCGATTGCAGCTCTCATTGCCTACAGCTCTCTGTATGTGGCCAACAGGAGCAATTGGAAGTGTCATGGACCGGGACAAATCTTCCTACCACTCCCATTGGCCACAAACTGCAAGGCATGACCAACAAGAGCTGCAATCTTCCAATATCTACAGAGGCATAGGTAAATAAAGAGGTGGGGGACCACCAGGGATTAGCTCTGTATATCGGATCTGGCACACAGGATAGATTTTGCCCACCCTTGACCTAACATCTTAAAGCACAGGCTGCTTCTGCCAAGCCTGTCAGTGATAATCCAATAGTGACTTAAGTGTGCTGGTATATGGTGGCAGCAGCAGGCACCTCAGCAGAGCTGAATATCATCATTTATGGCTATAAGTGATATGGCACAGAAAACGCATTTTAAGATAAACCCTTTTTATTAGAAGAGTCCAGTGTACTAGTCCTTAATGTCTGTGTTGGGATTGCAGCAAGAAGTTCAGTAAATATGAAATACTGATTAATTTCTCAACCATGTCATGTGGAATATGCTGAGAGGAAAGAACAGCATAAACACATCATCTTTTTCAGAAGTAATGGTCTCTCTGTCCCTTCTAGATTGATAAACACAAACATCAACTGTTTGGACCATGGAATAGCAAAGTGCACCTCATTCAGGGCACAGGCATCCTTGCTGATAATATTAAATTAATCCAGAAAAAATTCCCCAGATGGACCAAGGAACAACAGCTGAAAGGTACAGCATAGACTATATTCAGTAGAGGAGCTAAGGGAACTTTTAGCACAAAAATCATGTTAAAGATTTTTTTGTTACTGATATTTTAAATGCTTTTTATTTCTAAGTATCATTTTTTCACCACTGATTCAGTTTGTCTATTTTGCATAGTTTGGGCAGTGAAACTAGATGGGTGTGTCTAGACTAGATGGCTCCGTCGACAGAGCCATGTAGATGAATTTACCTGGCAAAGGGAAATGAAGCGGTGATTTAAATAATCGCCACTTCATTTACATCAAAATGGCCACTGCACTGTGCTGATCAGCTGTTTGTCAGCACAGTGCGGCAGTCTAGACGGGGATCTGCCGACCCCAAAACCTTCGTCAGCAGATCCTTTATGCCTCGTGAAAGAAGAGTTAATTTGGCCTATCGGAAGCCCTGCACCTCAGTCTTCTCTGTCCCCCTCAGTCCTTGGGGCTGGAGTACCAGTGGAGTAAGGTGTCTCAGTTGGGGGCCACATCAGTGAGGGTTGGGGTTTTTTGGAGGGCTTTTTTTTTTTTTGCTTTTCACTTGTGTGGTCCCTGACTGATTTTTCTGTGGGTCAGTGGCCCTTGACCCAAAAAAAGTTTCCCCTTCCCTGCTATAAATAAAGACAATGTTGAAACCTTTTGTGTTGGACATAAATTAATATTTTACTTTATTTAAAATAAAGTTTGGTAAACTAACACAAGAAAGTTAAAGAGCTTAATCTGCTTAATAATTTCAATTCATATTTCCTTTCTTGCTGGTTAAATTAAAACATTCTTCCTATCTACAACACTAGCAAAATGGCTCGGATGTAATTATATAATTAACAGAGAGTTTCCATTAGCAACTGATGGGTTTTGGAAATATTTGAGTTGAGACAGGTGGGCCATGGGCCAAAAGGTTTGAGAACCACTCGCTGGAATTTTTATTTGTTTTTTAATTTTAAGTCTCTTTTTAAAAATTCCCCTTTTTTGTTTCAGGTGGAATTTCTGTCTATAATGCAGGACTAGAAAATGTCCAATCCTATGATAAAACAGATATTGGTACAACCAACAATGACTATGCCAACGATATAGTTGCACGAGCCAAGTATTTTAAGAGAAATGGATACTGAAATATGAGAGTTTTTGTTTTCAGATACATTGTGGTTCTTACAATAACAGGAATTCAGGAGAGAGACCTTATATTTGGGGAAGATTAGAAGCTGAAACCTGCAAACCTTAATCATGTAAATATGGCCATTGACTGCACTGAGAACTTGCTGAAATAAGGGTTTGCATTCTAAGGGTACATCTACACTGCAAGCTTCTTTCAGAACTAGCCAATTAGGCCGTCATAAGATGGGATTTTCAGGTCTCTTCTCCACATCGGTCTTCTCTCCTGAGCCTTTGGTCTCTCGCTCCGTGTGTTTGTGTGTCTCTCTCTTTCCTCCTCCTACTGCCTCCCTCCCTCTCTCTCTCAGCTCTCCTCTGCCTCCTGCCTCTCTGTCTCTCTCTTTCTCTTCTCCTCCCGCTCCTGCCTCTCACTCGGGGGACCGCGGAGCCCAAATGGCCGCTTGCGCCGCTTGTTCCCCTGCGGCGGCGCGGCTGAGCGGCACAGAAGTCAGCTGAGCGTCATGACAAGAGATGAAGGACATGAGTCAGGCAACAGTGCTGCCCAGAGGGAAGAAGCCAGCATTTCAGCGTTACAGAGTCACAGACATTGGGCTACTATATATATGATAAGCTTTTCCGGAATATAGTATCCACACTACAGAGAAGCCTCAAAATTAGTCCGAGGCAGGCTCCCTTAATATGGACGTGCTATCTTGACTTAGAGCCCCAAGAAGCCTTGGGGAGGAATAACTTTAGAATGGCCCTGATGAGAAGCTATTTCAACACAGAACCCGTGAAGCATCTACACATACCCTCTTCTGAAAAAGCTTTGTCGGAAAAGGGCTTATTCCTCATGAAATGAGGTTTACTGATATTGGAAAAAGTAATCCGTTATTTCAACTTTCTGTCAAAATAATGCAATTGCAATGTGGACACCAATATTGTTTTTCTGGAATAATGGCTGGAATAACAACATTCTCTTTGGTTTTTTAAAACTTTTTTTAACAATCACTCCAAGATCTCTTCTTGAGTGGTAACAACTAATCTAGACCCCAAACTTTTATATGTATAGTTGTGACTATGTTTTCCAATTTGCATTACTTTGCATTCATCTGCCATTTTGTAACCCACTCACCCAATTTTGTGAGGTCCCTTTGTAACTTTTTTACAGTCAGTTTTGGAGTTAACTATTTTGAGTAGTTTTGTACCATCTGCAAATGTTTAAACCTTATAGTTTATCCTCCTTTCCAGATTATATATTCATAAGTATGTTGAAAAGTATTGGTCCAAATATCAGTGATATCCCTTCGGTGATATCCCTATTTACTTCTCTCTATTCTGAAAAATGTCAATTTATTTGTATTCTTTGTGTCTTGCCTTTTAACCCATAACTGATCCTTGAGAGGACCTTGCCTCTTGTCCCATGATAACTGGATCACCTTTGTCCACATGCCTGTTGACCCCCTCAAAGAATTCTAGTAGATTGGTAAGGCATGATTTCCCCTTACAAAAAACATGATGATTCTTCACAAACTACTCATTTTCACCTATGTGTCTGATAATCCTGTTCTTCACTATTGTTTCAACCAGTTTGCCCTGGACTGAAGTTAGGCTTATCAGCCTGTAATATCCAGGATTGTCTCTAGAGGCTTTTTTAAAAATTGACATCACGTTAGCTATCTTCCAGGTCCACCAACCATCAACACCCCCATTTCAGTATCAGAAAAGGATTGTTCTGGCCTGTACCACTTGGAAGGGTCACAGATACTACAGTTGCCCCTCTTTTCCCCATGCTGGCCAATGATAAGAGTAGCTCAACAAACAGCAAGCTGGTGCCTTAGAGGAAGTGTCTAAACAGAGGGCTTCTGTGAATCTCTGAGGCAAGCAATCCACCTGAAAGAGCAGGACCCACCAAGGTTGAGGGGGAGCTTTGTCACAATATTTAATGCTGTCCAACTCCATCCTTGGGCTATGTCCTATCTGAGCTCTCAGGCAGGTTCCTTCAGCTCACCTGGATACTTGGAAGCTGGCAGTCTAGACAGATCCAGCTACTCCTTGGCATCAGGTTCCTCGAGGTGCCAGTTGGCTCCTCTGGCTTTGTCTGGCTACTCAGCCACCAGTAGTCCCTGTAGCTCTGGCTCTGTCTCAGCATCAGGCTGCCTGGCTCTTCCAGCTCATCTGAGTACTCAGCCACTGGCAGCAATCCCAATAACTCCAGTTCTTCCTCACTTGAGGTGCAGGCCACTGCGAGGCTGGTGGGCAGGTGCCAGTAGCCTGCATCTGGTTCCTTCCATGGCTCACTCCCAATTGTGCGAGAGGCACCATTTTTTATGCTTTCTGCTCTGCCACTGCATTTCCAGAGGCTGGGGCAAGCTCGGCCTGGCTATGCCCATGTGCACAGAGAGAGTGGTTTCTTCCCTTCTGGCTTGGAGGGAAGCCACATTGCCTCATTATAGCACCCATGACTTTGCAAAAAATATACTTCCAATAAATCACAAGGTTCCTCTTGAGTAAGTGCAGACACATGTATTATCATGTTCCCTAATTGCTGTACCAACTGGTCAAAATAGGATAGCTGTGATCTAGTTATTGTGAACGTTGCCAATAACTTAGCTATTGTATGGTAATTGATGCTCCAGTATCAATAATAAATAGAATTTGGCAGGAAGCTTACCAATGCTGATGCTACGGGTAACTCATTAGCACCTCTACTGTAAAGGGCTACATCACAGCATGGTGCCCTTTGGCATCATGTGATCTCTTCTTCTTCCCCTCTGGACTTCCATACTCCATAGAGGGAGTTGAAGTCCAGGATAATGCTCCAGCAACTCTGGCAATGGGTTCAGTTGGAGTGGATTGGCAACCTAAAACCACTGAACTCATTGCTGCTACGTTTCCTGTATGTCACACTTCTGAGTGTCTAGAGTTGTCCTATCTGGTGAAGTTCTTTAATAATCATGACCAGTGTAGGAACGGGTTAGGTATTTTGGGACAGGGCAATAATGATTTATATCTGGCATAAAATGTTTCCTGTCTGTAGTCGGTGAAGATGCAACCATGGTCCTTCATTTATGTTTCTTTGTTATGTGACGGTTCACCTCTCCCATCCTTTATGAAATGGACTTATGGACATAAACATACATAACTCAGAGGTGCTTTGAGAAAATTACTTCATGTAACCTATCAATCTTCAGGTCTTAATCCACTGGATCTGTTTATCTTATTTTTGGTGTATGTATCATTCTTGTGTGTAAAATTAGACACATGGAGTAGGGAATACGTTATGGACTTTAAATGTGTGAATGAAAGTCATCAAGGGAGGCATCAGTGTCTGGACAATCATATGCAAATGGCCTTAAGACCTTAAGTCTTAGCAGTAGTTGGTAGGGACAGACCAGGTGACTCCCTATGCACTAAGGGAATCTTTAAAAACAATAGGAAAGTAGGAGTCTTTTGTCTTTGACTGGCACACCCGAGGGAAGGAACCAAAGACCCCAGGGTGAGGAACAGCCCTGGTTTTGGAAGGCTTGGTCAGGAAAGAAACAATTTTAGGGTGAGTTTGTAGTAAGTTTTTGTAATAAGTTTGTACTGACATTTTAGTGTAGAAGTATCTAAGTGTTTCTATTATTTTGAGTTTGTAATCTACTTTGCTCTGCTTGTTCTCACCTATTACCACTTAAATCCTACTGCTTGTACTTAATAAAATCACTTTTATTTTCTGTCAAACCCAGTGTTAATAATTGTTACATGGGGGAGCAGTCAGTGTGTACATTCCCCTTCCGTTGTTAAAGGGGGCTTACTCAAATAATTCATCGGGGGGGAAGGGTTGATCCTATTTGGGGAGTGGTATTCCAGGAAGCTGGGCCCAAAACTGCATTTTCTTTGGACCTAGAGATTCAGTGTCTGCATTGCTTTTTGGGGGGCATTATTCTCAGCTCTGTGCATTGGCTGGAGGAGACCAGGGAACTAGCCCAGCAGGATAGGGCAGCAAGAAGTCCCAGAGAGCAAAAGGATGGTGGCAGTGGCCTTGTCAGCACCTCGGGAATCACCCCCAATGGGTCATTTGTGATTTCACCCCATCACAAATTATATTATGGCATTTAGGAGTGCTCATTAACCGCTTAATTTTCCTGTTTAAATTGAGACATTCCAATTAAAGAGGGGTTTGACTATGTTTATTAGATAAGGTTGCCATTTTGTTTGGTTATAACAACAAGGGTCTGCTATGTTGGGCAAGGTTCTTGTTCCTCCCAGAGAAGGAAAAAAGGTGGAAAGTTTAAAAAGAGAGGGAA